ATAATAGATTCATTGGTCTTAATTCTACAAACTGGACTAACAGACGAGTTGTAACAAAACGACATGGCATTTACGTTATAAAAATTTATGTGCTCGGTTTGTGTGTGTGTGTGTGTGTGTGCGTGTGTGTGTGTGTGCGCGCGCGCGCGCACACACACACACACACACACACACACACACACGAGGAGAAAACATTATGATATTATTCTAAAAGCTTTTAAAAATGTCTGAAAATGTCAGAAATGTCTTAAAAACATCTTAAGGACATTTCTTAGACAAATATATTGTTTGGATTATTTTGCAAAAATGATTATGAAATTCGTTCGACATAAGAAACTAATGCAATGCAAATTATCATACTTCTCTCATATTTTATTATTTCGAAAAATGATACAGCGTAAAATAAAGCACAAATCGAGTTTAAAACAACCTAATGAGACGTAGGTGATCCTGGATATTCAAGGATAATTCAGTCCTGAAATCTTTGAAGCCGTCCAAGTTCAATAATCGCTCTTTGAGAATATCAAGTTGGGCACATATGTGAAATACAAGCAGGCTCAAAAAGGTATCGATGCCCGTGTAAGAAATTGCGGCCATTACGATCGATGTAGCTTGAGCGCCAATCGTGATTTCGTAGTACGGACTTTCCTTTATCTCTCGAAAATAATACGTTTGCACCAGCATCGGTTTCCCCGGTGCATCGGTGATGTTTGTCAGATATCTCATTGAATATCCAAAGCAAGGAGGAATGATGAGAAGGATGCACGCTAAGCTCATCATGGTACATCCGAACATGACCATCGCTCTGGCAATTCTCGCTTGCTTTATCATAGTATTTCGTTCTTGCACTGTTTTCCTCCTGATCCAATCCTCCGTAACCATGTTTATGATCGGTATAAGATCTTCAGAGAAGGATGCAAAAATATAGATAAATAATCTCTTTGAGAAATAAAGAGAGATAAACCGTTGCCAAATAAACAGCATTGTTCGTATAGAAAAAGAAATTTACCTTTCTTGTGAAACCACATAATGATAAATTTCACGACGGTCGCTGTGAAGGGCAGACCGATTTGCAAATTGTCTGTCATCGCCATTATGTCGCCCCAGACTCTCAGCAACGCAAATATTCCGGGTATGACCGACACGAAAAGCATTGTGATAAAAATAATAATGGCACGTAGATCCGCCAAAAATCTCTGCCGACGACTTAATTTATCATCTGGCCAAAGACCGATGATCTTTAGAGAAATTCGATTTATTCCAATCGCCCATTCTAAGTCTATGTCATTACCAGATTATTACTGATTAAGTCAATGGAATGATCAATTACAAATTAAATCGTACATTATTTGTAATGATATTGTTTTTTAAATAATTAATTAAACGGTGATTAAACATGAGGATTCATAAAGTTTCACAATAAACCTTTCTACGCGAAATAAACGCGTTAACTTTCAAATTATTTTCCTACGTACAACAACGTCGTTTAATTTTTAACAATTTATCATTTTTCCTATTAATAATGTTTTCAAAAAAACAACGCGAGTAACAGGATAGTTCACAGTAAACTCGTGCACTATATTCTCATAAACTCTCACAATTTCAATAATATAATGTATAAAAATATTTATTTTATATATATATATATATATATATATATATATATAATAAACACACATATATATAATAAAATA